CACAGGAAAACTGTGGGGAGTGCAGTACTGAACCAGCTCCAATATTTAACAAGTCACTGAATGGTTAATTCACAGGATATTATGGGAATTATTACATAAGTCACTTTTTAACACTTGGCACGTTGTTCTCAACTAGCAATTACTTATCTCAGGGTTGTAATTTATGAGGATCACCAGTAGCCAAAGTAGGAGAAGCGTCGTGAAGATCTGAAGAGGCCCATGTGAGGCGTGTTTACAAACTGGATGCGACGGCAGCGCTCCTGGCGGCGGTGGCGCGAGACTCAGGGACCCCACACTGTTCAGGCTAGAGGCACGAAGATAAATTCTGACGACGACAATATTGCGACGATGGAATAACCAGTTGATACTTGCGACGATGGCTGACGACGATTGCAGTAGCTTGCACCCTCACGAAGCTTGATACTGTCAGCTTGGGTGGCGGTGGTGGTGGTGGTGGGTGTAATAGGTGGTTCCCACGTGGTGGCGCGAGGTTCAAAAATGGCTGGCGCGGGAAGCTTCCTTCCTCCTCACTGATGAGTGAGCGTTCTCACAGGAAAATATTGACCCTTACTTCTAAAACGTTAGCCTGGAGTAGTGGTTGATGGCAGGACCCCGGTCTGGCACAATATTTGATGCGTGGGTGGCAGGATGGCGGCTTATGGCGGTGGCGGTGGCGGCGGTTTTGGCTGGAACACGAGGCGATGCTGGGTACTGGAACTTTTGCTTCCAGAAAAAATTTCTGGATCCCACTGCTGCTACCAGTATTCGTTTGCCTTGTTCGGGTTGAATGTAGACACAGTAGTCGCTTCTGTATATATTTATTGAGTGAGGCAAACAGGTGTATAACTGGCCAGCCGAGGTCCACCTACTCTGGGTCTGTGAGGATAACTGAGGCTGCTGGGAGCATGCCTGATGCTCCTCTGTCTGGCAAGACGTCAGAGGCCTACTTGCCTGTGATTGGTTACATTTCAACTGACAGAATTTGAGTATAAACACTCCTCCCTGTCTAACAACGGTACCCCCTCCTTCCTGTCTAACACGGTACCCCTCCTTCCTGTCTAACAACGGTACCCCTCCTTCCTGTCTAACAACGGTACCCCTCCTTCCTGTCTAACAACGGTACCCCTCCTTCCTGTCTAACAACGGTACCCTCCTCCCTGTCTAACAACGGTACCCCTCCTTCCTGTCTAACAACGGTACCCCTCCTTCCTGTCTAACAACGGTACCCCTCCTCCCTGTCTAACAACGGTACCCCTCCTTCCTGTCTAACAACGGTACCCCTCCTCCCTGTCTAACAACGGTACCCCTCCTTCCTGTCTAACAACGGTACCCCTCCTTCCTGTCTAACAACGGTAACCTCCTTCCTGTCTAACACGGTACCCCTCCTTCCTGTCTAACAACGGTACCCTCCTTCCTGTCTAACAACGGTACCCTCCTTCCTGTCTAACAACGGTACCCTCCTCCCTGTCTAACAACGGTACCCCTCCTTCCTGTCTAACAACGGTACCCCTCCTTCCTGTCTACAACGGTACCCCTCCTCCCTGTCTAACAACGGTACCCACCTTCCTGTCTAACAACGGTACCCTCCTTCCTGTCTAACAACGGTACCCCCTCCTTCCTGTCTAACAACGGTACCCCTCCTTCCTGTCTAACAACGGTACCCCTCCTCCCTATCTAACAACGGTAATCCACCCCCATATCTTCCACATCAACTCAACCCAGCAAGTTACTGTGAACTTTCTAACTACACTAATCCCCCCCCCCCCATAAGTTATAAGCTAATCTACAAGTTCATCACCTAACCCATAACTCATATTTTGTCCCCGATATGACTTCAGAGAAGAGACATATATAACTGTAAATGTAATTAACCCGTTCTGAAAGCCGGCAAATCTATATTGTCAACTGTAAAAAAGTTGTCTATAAGGTTTAAGATCAGGGGCCAGATTCACGAAAGCACTTACGCAAGTACTTAGGAACGTGTACATCTTTCCTCAATCTTTGACGGCTTTGGTTACATTTATTAAACAGTTTACAAGCATGAAAACTTCCCATTCAACTGTTGTTATTGTTATAAACAGCCTCCTGGTGCTTCGGAGCTCATTAACTGTTTAATAATTGGATACAAAGCCGCCAAAGATTGAGAAAAGATGTACAGGTTCGTAAGTGTTTGCGTAAGTGCTTTCGTGAATCTGGCCCCAGGAGAGGTGTGTGTGTGTGGGGGGGGGGGGGCTCATATCAAGAAATCGATCAATTTAAAGTGGTCTCTCCTAACCTACCCAGAGGACCCAAAACAGAAAACGGGACAGTACGTCACTTGCGCCAGCCGCTTCCATTTTTTCTAGTACGACAATTTCTGGCCTTATGTAACTCATAGGAGCCGAAAGCGACGTTCTTTGTAGGAGGACAAGTTGGGTTAAGCACCGGTTAACCTTCCGCCTCGACCCGATGATAGGCTGCAGAAGAAGGTCATTCAGTTGGCCAATATAAGCTTTAACTACTGTAGAGTTGCATCATTGTTTCCAGGATTATCAATCTCCAGCGACATAACAATGTGCTAGTAACAATCACCAGCGACATAATAATACTAGCAACAATCTCCAGCGACATAACAATGTGCTAGTAACAATCTCCAGCGACATAACAATGTGCTAGTAACAATCTCCAGCGACATAACAATGTGCTAGTAACAATCTCCAGCGACATAACAATGTGCTAGTAACAATCTCCACGACATAACAATGTGCTAGTAACAATCTCCAGCGACATAACAATGTGCTAGCAACAATCTCCAGCGACATAACAATGTGCTAGTAACAATCTCCAGCGACATAACAATGTGCTAGTAACAATCTCCAGCGACATAACAATGTGCTAGTAACAATCTCCAGCGACATAACAATGTGCTAGTAACAATCTCCAGCGACATAACAATGTGCTAGTAACAATCTCCAGCGACATAACAATGTGCTAGCAACAATCTCCAGCGACATAACAATGTGCTAGTAACAATCTCCAGCGACATAACAATGTGCTAGTAACAATCTCCAGCGACATAATAATACTAGCAACAATCTCCAGCGACATAACAATACTAGCAACATTCTAGTTAGCAAAGGATGAGACACATTAAGCACGAGCAGCGACGGTGAAGGGACGCGGGAAGGAAGAGAAAGAGAGACACACAGACCAGGGTCACCACGGTAACAAGCCAGTTCATGATTGGATTGTTAGATGGTCCCCCCCCCTCCCCCCGACGAGGGTTGCCGCTAGCGTCAACGGTTTTTGATAACTGTTGTTATCTAACCCGCTTTTCAAACTGGTTATTAAGATTAGATTATACTCTTTTTTCCCTCCTCCTCCTCCTAGTACATTTTATTTGCTCACAATTCTGTTCCATGTGTTCACCTCTCTGTAGCCTATTCCATGTGTTCAGCACTGTAGCCTATTCCATGTGTTCACCTCTCTGTAGCCTATTCCATGTGCTTCAGCACTGTAGCCTATTCCATGTGTTCACCTCTCTGTAGCCTATTCCATGTCTTCAGCACTGTAGCCTATTCCATGTGTTCAGCACTGTAGCCTATTCCATGTGTTCAGCACTATAGCCTATTCCATGTGTTCAGCACTGTAGCCTATTTCATGTGTTCAGCACTGTAGCCTATTTCATGTGTTCAGCACTGTAGCCTATTCCATGTGTTCAGCACTGTAGCCTATTCCATGTGTTCAGCACTGTAGCCTATTCCATGTGTTCAGCACTGTAGCCTATTCCATGTGTTCAGCAATATATGGATCAATCCACGTGTTTACTCTAACCAATTCCACGTGTTCATCACTCTAAATCATTCAACCAGTTCACTGCTCTGGACCATTCCACGTGTTCACTACTATACCCTATTCCACGTGCTCACTCTAGATCAATCCACATGTTCAATGTAGAACAAGCCACATGTTCACCACTCTAGAACATTCCACGTGTTCACCACTGGGAACAATCTTCACATCTTGCTGTGTGTCATCTGCCTCCACCTTCGCTTGTTCAACTGCTTCTCACGTTGAACATGTTTCACGTTGAACATGTTTCACGTTGAACATGTTTCACGTTGAACATGTTTCACGTTGAACATGTTTCACGTTGAACATGTTTTCACGTTGAACATGTTTCACGTTGAACATGTTTCACGTTGAACATGTTTCACGTTGAACATGTTTTCATAATTAATTCCTTCGTCGTAGGCTAATACCATACCCTTCTCTCCGGTACGAGTCTCGTTACATAACACTTCTATATATATGGAGCTTCCACGCTGGAGCTGCATAATTAGGACCGAGTCTCACGTACGTGTGTGCAGTTCACCGTAGGCCTCCTTCCTAGGGTTACTTCTAACTATTCTAATGTTAGGCAGCTCTGTGTACACAGCTGACGTTTGTGGGTTACGTTAACTCCGGCAACCAGGAGGCCTGGTCGACGACCGGGCCGCGGGGACGCTAAGCCCCGGAAGCACCTCAAGGTAACCTCAAGGTACGTTAACTCCTGCGTCATTCTCCGTCTTTCCTTCAAGAAGTTCTCTTCTTCCCTTCATATAACTTTGTTCAGAGGACCATCTAACGTCTTTTAGAGTTACCTGGAGCATACCTGGTGAGGGTTTCGAGAGTTCTTCTGCTCCCTGAGCCCGGCCTGAGGCCAGGCTCGACTTGTGATAACTTGGTCCAACAGGCTGTTGCTTGGAGCGGCGCGCAGGTCATTCCTGATGCAGTTTCAATGCTTTGAATTTTGTTTGGATTGAAGTACAATACCCACCTCTCAGTCCAGCCCTGGAATGTGTCCAGATCTTGCCTCTTTATCAATTTTTTCAGGGATTCTCATTCTTCAGATCGGTTTTACATCGTTCTCGAACATTAATATCAACGTCTGACCACCAGAAAATGTGTATTTTCCCCATATATGAAGTGAAGATTAGACGGAGCTTAACTTAGTAATTAATTCATTAAATTATAGTCACAATTGCGCTTGTCTTTTGGACTATGTTGCGTCTTGCACTGGGTCGTTGACTGTGACCACATTGTTGACCTGTTGACCTGGGAGGCGCACGGCGGGTGTGGCTGCCCCCCCCCCCCCTCGGTGCAACAGTGACCTGCCACCCAACACCTGAGAACACCCTGAGGACACTACACCCAACACCTGAGGACACCCCGAGGACACTACACCCAACACCTGAGAACACCCTGAGGACACTACAACCCAACACCTGAGAACACCCTGAGGACACTACACCCAACACCTGAGGACACCCCGAGGACACTACACCCAACACCTGAGAACACCCCGAGGACACTACACCCAACACCTGAGAACACCCCGGGGACACTACACCCAACACCTGAGGACACTACACCCAACACCTGAGAACACCCCGAGGACACTACACCCAACACCTGAGAACACCCTGAGGACACTACACCCAACACCTGAGAACACCCCGAGGACACTACACCCAACACCTGAGAACACCCCGAGGACACTACACCCAACACCTGAGAACACCCTGAGGACACTACACCCAACACCTGAGAACACCCCGAGGACACTACACCCAACACCTGAGAACACCCTGAGGACACCACACCCAACACCTGAGAACACCCCGAGGACACTACACCCAACACCTGAGAACACCCTGAGGACACTACACCCAACACCTGAGGACACTACACCCAACACCTGAGAACACTACACCCAACACCTGAGGACACTACACCCAACACCTGAGAACACCCCGAGGACACTACACCCAACACCTGAGAACACCCCGAGGACACTACACCCAACACCTGAGAACACCCCGAGGACACTACACCCAACACCTGAGAACACCCTGAGGACACTACACCCAACACCTGAGAACACCCTGAGAACACTACACCCAACACCTGAGAACACCCTGAGGACACTACACCCAACACCTGAGGACACCCTGAGAACACTACACCCAACACCTGAGAACACCCTGAGGACACTACACCCAACACCTGAGGACACCCTGAGAACACTACACCCAACACCTGAGAACACCCTGAGGACACTACACCCAACACCTGAGGACACTACACCCAACACCTGAGGACACTACACCCAACACCTGAGAACACCCTGAGGACACTACACCCAACACCTGAGAACACCCCGAGGACACTACACCCAACACCTGAGAACACCCTGAGGACACTACACCCAACACCTGAGAACACCCTGAGGACACTACACCCAACACCTGAGAACACCCCGAGGACACTACACCCAACACCTGAGAACACCCCGAGGACACTACACCCAACACCTGAGAACACCCTGAGGACACTACACCCAACACCTGAGAACACCCTGAGGACACTACACCCAACACCTGAGAACACCCCGAGGACACTACACCCAACACCTGAGAACACCCTGAGGACACTACACCCAACACCTGAGAACACCCCGAGGACACTACACCCAACACCTGAGAACACCCCGAGGACACTACACCCAACACCTGAGAACACCCTGAGGACACTACACCCAACACCTGAGAACACCCTGAGGACACCACACCCAACACCTGAGAACACCCTGAGGACACCACACCCAACACCTGAGAACACCCCGGGGACACTACACCCAACACCTGAGAACACCCCGAGGACACTACACCCAACACCTGAGAACACCCAGAGGACACTACACCCAACACCTGAGAACACCCTGAGGACACTTCACCCAACACCTGAGAACACTACACCCAACACCTGAGAACACCCCGAGGACACTACACCCAACACCTGAGGACACTACACCCAACACCTGAGAACACCCTGAGGACACCACACCCAACACCTGAGAACACCCTGAGGACACTACACCCAACACCTGAGAACACCCTGAGGACACTACACCCAACACCTGAGAACACCCTGAGGACACCACACCCAACACCTGAGAACACCCTGAGGACACTACACCCAACACCTGAGAACACCCTGAGGACACTACACCCAACACCTGAGAACACCCTGAGGACACCACACCCAACACCTGAGAACACCCTGAGAACACTACACCCAACACCTGAGAACACCCTGAGGACACCACACCCAACACCTGAGAACACCCTGAGGACACTACACCCCACACCTGAGAACACCCTGAGGACACTACCACCCAACACCTGAGAACACCCTGAGGACACCACACCCAACACCTGAGAACACCCTGAGGACACTACACCCAACACCTGAGAACACCCTGAGGACACTACACCCAACACCTGAGAACACCCTGAGGACACTTCACCTAACATCCCCGACTCACTGTCTTATACACCAGAGGTGTATAAGACGGTGAGTGTACCACCACTCAACTGGTGGTACACACATGGCGACACATATGGACCACAAGTGGTACACACATGGCGACACATATGGACCACAAGTGGTACACACATGGCGACACATATGGACCACAAGTGGTACACACATGGCGACACATATGGACCACAAGTGGTACACACATGGCGACACATATGGACCACAAGTGGTACACACATGGCGACACATATGGACCACAAGTGTCGTCACCTCTGCTCCCTCGGAGAACGTAATTGTATTACTGCACGACTTAAGGAGAGGCGAGAGCAAAGTTTGTTGTTGTTTTAGATTCAGCTACTCGGAACAAAAAGTTTCGAGTAGCACGGGCTATGGTGAGCCCGTAAGTGGCGGCTCTTTGGAGCCATTATCTGTATCAATAGCTGATACTGGAGATCTGGGGACGGGGTCCGTGGACACGCCAATCCAATCCAAGAGCAGGACTGCAGATGATGATTGATAAAGATTAAGCCACTTTATTTTACAAGGCCAGTGGCACGGGCATGAATAGACCGTAAAAAGAGGCTCTTTCGAGCCATTACCAGTACCAATAGCTGATACTAGAGATCTGTGGATGGATGGGGGTCTTCGTGGTGGATTTCAGCCTCGGAAGGCTGGCTGGACCAATTAAGGGGCTGGTGGGTTAGTGTAGACCTCTAGGTCTTCCGTTTTGTCTTTTTTTTTGAGATATATACAAGAGTTGTTACATTCTTGTACAGCCACTAGTACGCGTAGCGTTTCGGGCAAGTCCTTAATCCTATGGTCCCTGGAATACGATCCCCTGCCGCGAAGAATCGTTTTTTCATCCAAGTACACATTTTACTGTTGCGTTAAACAGAGGCTACAGTTAAGGAATTGCGCCCAGTAAATCCTCCCCGGCCAGGATACGAACCCATGACATAGCGCTCGCGGAACGCCAGGCGAGTGTCTGGCTGAGCCGAACCATCGGTAAGAAGGCAAAGAAGGGATTGGCATACTGATAATATATAAAATCCTTCCTTCCTCATTGCGTATTAGTCAGTATATATTAGTGAAGACTTCATTACCATCTCTGCTGGGTGTGTCAACTGCTTATCTTCTGACAGCCTCAGGGTTCAGGCCGTGTCTGGGAACAGGTAGTTTACAGGGTGTGCTGGCCAGCTCAGCTGGGTCTCCCACACTACTCAACTCCCCCTCTAGAGGAAAGCCAACCAACAAACACCCACAAACACCCTAAGAGGTAACACTTCCCCCCCCCCCTCTCCAACACAACACCAACTTCCCCCCCCTTGTAACTCTCCAACACAACACCAACTTGCGACCCCCCCCCCTCTCTCGTTGAACACAACACCACTGACCCCCCCCACAATCCCAACACAACACAACACCACTCGCCCCCCCCCCTCTCCAACACAACACCAACACACCTTCCCCCCCCCCCTCTCTCCAACACAACACCAACTCCCCCCCTCTCTCCAACACAACACCAACTCCCCCTCTCCAACAAGAGTGCTCCCTCCCTCTTTTTCACCTTTCATACCCAACACAAATTAAAAACAAGAATGTGTAATGTTGTCGGGAGTGCCGCCGGTGGCAGCTCACATATTCCCAAAAGACCGGCTGTTACGGAGGAATATCGTAGTGGGCCTCGCTGGTGCTGGGGCGCTGAACGGCCTGTTCTCTCCCTCTTTACCACTCCGTAATAAATGCAACTGTTTTGCCTACACCTAAACGTACGAACCGAAGCAACCCACCTTACACATAGAAAACGTTAATATTATGGTGCTTTAGAGTTCATTAATGCGTCATAATTTTAGCGGATTGGTCGATTTTGAAACAAAAAAAATGGGATATATTAGATGAGAGGACGGGAGCGGATAGGTGACGTGGCGACAGGTAAACATTGCACATTGCATAATTGTCATTGCAAGTATGAAAGACAATGTGCAAACACAGAGGAATATGTGCTGGTACACTGTGTTGACCATATGACCTGTGACCTCAGTCAAAACTGGGATGGGAGTGGTCATGGCGGGTGTGGGGTGGTGATGGTGAGGTTATAGTGATATTGCATCTTGTCCTCAGGGAGGATATCCCCTCAAGGGAATGGATTCGGAAGGATAACAAACGACAACATATTTTGTGTTATCTACTCTCTATCCATGGTTAGGTTGGGTTAAGGTTACTTAGGCGTAAGGTTTGGTTAGGGTAAATTAGGTTAAGTTTCATTACGTTAATACGATGTATTATTGTCAACAATATGAAATATGGAATTGAAAAACTGTTTCAGTGTGCCGGCGAATTCCCTTTACAGAAAATCAAATTCTTAAAGAAAATGTTTTCAGCATACACTTTATATTTTAAACCAACTTTTTCTATTACATTAACGTTCAACAGAGATTATTCTCTAGTTATACTACAAAGGTTCATTAGCCAGTTTACATGTAGACTATTATTAGAACCGCAATATGCTTTCAAAGCATCACAAATATCTAGATTACTATCCAGGTTGTTTGAGGGTGGGTGTAGGCATGGTGGGTGTAGCCATGGAGGGTGTAGCCATGGTGGGTGTAGCCATGGTGGGTGTAAGCATGGTGGGTGTAGCCATGGTGGGTGTAGTCCATGGTGGGTGTAGTCCATGGTGGGTGTAGACCATGGTGGGTGTAGACCATGGTGGGTGT